CAGTAAGTGCTTGAAGCAATAGAGGAGGGCTCTTTAGGCAATTCACAATAAAGCCCTAACCTCATCTGAAATTTCTCCATCAAAATCAAATCCCAACTTAGCTGCTTCTGATTGAGGATTCATGTGAATGCCACAACCTTCATAAGCAGAAAAGTGTTCCTTATTTTTTCAATCATGTAAGAGGCAAGAGATTCACAAGCCTTTCTAATAGTCCTTTCCTTGTAGTTTCAATAAGAATGACGTCATCCGAAGATTTACCACTCTTAACAGTAGAATAAACAGCTTCCTTTTCACTTTTGGTACTAAAACTATTGACCGTTTCAATAGAAGAATCAACACCTGACCTTAGCATCCCTTGCTTGATTTACAAAGTGACAAAGACGTTTATGATATTCAGCAAATATTTTGCCGCTTCATCATCACACTGTCTATCATATGCCTCCAACATAACTTGCTTGTGCCTGCACAGTGGGTTTAAAACACCACGTTAATCATGTCAAGCCAAACATATTAAGCTTGTCCTCTATTTTCTTCTCTTTCTTTCAAACAGCTCATTAGCAAAGATGTATATATTTTTATTGAAACCAATTCCTGGCTTATTCAATTTTGGCATCGCAACATGGATGAGAACACATAATTTCAGAAGTTCATCCCAGCAAGCGATAAGATAATGCCTACACTCTTACGACTCCAATAATATAAAAAACGTGTATCCTAATTTGAGTTTGTTAAAGCTAGGTTTAACAAGATTTTATGGAGAGAGAAGTAAATGGTATATCACTAAGTACTTAACCATAAAGTCACATTCTTGGCAAGTTATGAAAGATCTCAAACCTGTAATTCGCCCGCTCATCAAGCATTCTCTTCCGCTCAGCCTCCTCCCTTGAAACCTCCAGCATCCTAGCTCTCAAATCCTTCCTCTGCCTCCTCACAATATTTCTCAACCTTTCCACCTCTTTCTCTGCCAAATCTCGCTCTTGCAGCGCAGCCTCTCGAGTCTCCGCCGCGCTCGAACTCTCTGCCAATATTTTCTCCTTTTTCCTCCCTTTACTCCTACCCTCTTCTTTTCCGGCACTCACCAAACTGCTAACACTGCCACCATGATCTGCATCACCGTGAACCGCTATGTTTCTCCGAATATTCTCCACAGTTTTCTCCGACTTCACCCGTGTTATCAAGAAATTCCAACCGGAATCATGTTCCCACGGCAAATCTTCCGAAACGACTCAACCGATGGCAAATGCGATTTACTTGAGGCGCCATACTGAGGCAAGGGCCTATACCCCATTTCCATTTGAAGCCATTCCAGTATTGCCTCTGGTTGAGCCACTGAGCTCAACGAGCTCTGCATTGCAAGTCCGGATTCAAAGGTCGGAAGAAATCGTAGGTTCTGAGACTAACCTCTCATTGACTCCAAATCACCCCCCCAAGGCTAACTTTCTTGAACCTGGTCCGAAATCAGAAGAAGAGAGATCATCTTCAGTATGAAACAGTAACAAGCGAGCACTTGCGAATTGCCAGATAATCGGTTTTTCTGATTCTTCGTTTAGAACTGAAAGAGAATGTACAGTGTCGGAGTATGTGAGCGATCAGAAAGAGAAAAGGGAAGAAGAATCGCAGATCTGACAAAAGCGGAGGTTTATGGCCGGCCAAGCAAAGCAAAACACTCTGAATCCGCGCTCGCTTGGTCGCTATACCGTCCCGTGCAAACAAGAGAGGGCGCTGCTTTATTCGTATTTGAGTTTGAAATTCGGGAATACTTAGGACTTATTTGAAATCATGTTCAAAAATATTTATAAAATAATTTTACATAATTATTTTGTATTTTATAAATCACTATTGAAAAAACTGCTGATAAACTATTCTAAATAAACCTTCAGATTATTTGCATTTGGCGATGGTTAAAAATAGTATTGATTAATTTCTATTACTTTTTACCCCAAAAAAGATTAATTTCTATTATTAAAATTTGCTCAAAATGATTTAGAATGGCTTGGAGAGAGATTAATATCTTACACAAGTTAATGTTAAAACAAACCAAAATGGACCAAATCCTTTCCAAATCTGAAACTTATAAATAGAATGTGAGAGAGAGAGTATCTTACACAAGTTAAAATAGTCTGAAAAATGAAATATTTTTTAAATTTACACTTATTTAAGAATATGAATAAAAAATATAAAAATCATAAATAAGGTTAATTTTAAAAATAATTAAATTTCCATTTGTTTATTTGTATTTTTTTATTGTTTGCAAATATTCATATATTTAATTAAAGTCAATTATGTTCGAGTTACAATGGAGTACCAGACGTGAGCAGTTCTCCAAACAAACATCTGAACATTTTTATGTTAAGCAAAGCAACTTATACACAAAACCATCACCAATTTATTTCAAAAGTCGTTTGAACATTTTATGTTAAGTATAAAAACTTATACATAAAACCATCACCAATTTATTTCAAAAGATGACTAATATACAAGATCTGAGGGGGGATAACTCAATTTTTTTTATCTCAAAATATCCTCAAGCCATTTTAGATTGAAGACTCATTTTTATTGGATAGAGACCGTTAAAGTTAAAATCCTCTAAATGAGTGCATTTCCTGATATTCAAACTTATATTCTCCTCCTTATATGGTCAACAATTTTTTATTTTGTTTTTAGGAAAAATCAATGTTTTAATCTGTCAACTTTTAACTTACTTGGAACTCAGTGTTTTAAGTATAACTTGTTGCAACTCAATCCTTAAACTTTTAACTCAATTAAAACTCAGTCCCTATCTTTTCCTATTTTTAATAGGGAAAACTATATTGGAGATACCTATACTTTCTCTTAATTTTTAATTTGATACCTATGTATTTTTTCTTTTAATTAAATCATTTAATTTTACTTTTTTTTTTTGCAACATTAGCTCCTGTGAATTTGTTGTATTAGCATTTTTAATCTCTATGCAAGGATTGACAATATTAATAGAGTAAAATTAAAGATTTTAATTAGAAGGAAAAATAACACATAGGTGTCAAATTGAAAATTGAAAAAAAAAATATACGTACATCCAATATGTTTTTTTTTTTAATTTTATAAAATGATCCTTATTAGTCCTGCTCATAACTAGGTCATCCTATTAAGCACTGATGTCGCTGCCAAGTCACCATCTCTATCATCTTAAACTTCCTTTTGTGCAAGAAAGCTCATCGGACTCTCCTCTTTCAATATTCTTTCTTTCATTATTTCTTCATCTCTATCTATTGATCATCATTTCATACTCTATCTACTAAACTCTTCTATTAATTTTAATTAACTCCTCGCCATCATGAAAGAGGAAGATGAATTAAGATGAAATGCACATACCCCACAACTTGGACACTCTGTTTCTTAACTTGATTATGAGGAATTTTGGAACTCACTTGATCGCCCACACACAGTTCAATCATAGGGAGGAGTCAGAAGATTGTTATACAGCAAGTGCACTTTGGAAGGAAGGCAAGAGAGAAAATAGTATAGAGGGGAAAGAATAACGAAATAGCCTTATTATGCACACACACGGTCTTATAATCACACTACTATGCAGTTTTTCATCCGAAAAATACGTGCTATAATTGTTCCCTCCTATTATTTGGATGAATAAAGGGTGTTTTACAAACAATAACCCCAAACTCTTAATTAATTATATTTTAGACCTCAAATTTTATGGGTTTGGGCCTAATCCACCAAGAATGAATCAGGTCTAATCCAACATTTCCTACCCATATTTGGTGGATTAGTTGCTATAGCCCACTCTGTTTTTCTTTTGTTCATATTAAGTGCTTGTCATAGGCAAGACGTTGTTGTTTTAGATGTTCGTACTAGAAATCTCTTTTCTGAGACCAGTACAAGACAACCTTCTTAGCGTAGCTTTTACTTGATTTGTTATACCTCAGATGTCCTAAATTTACTTATGTGCATTCCTTATAGCTAATTTAATCCCTTTCGAGCTAATATAAGACTGAAATTTCCTTTCTTGTATGGATAGTATCTATACTTATGAAACTAACAAAAATATGAGGGACACATCTCAAACACTAGTATAGGAGTGTATACTTCAAGTAATCTTCTTTTCACCCATATATCATTTTACTATAATCAGCCGATTTCCTAACATAAAATATCAGATCACATTTGTCATAATTATAGGTTATATGCTAAAGCAGTAGGCATTGGAGTATATTTTCATGATAAAGTCAAAGTTAAAGGACATCAATTGAAGTGTTGTACTTTCCAGAGACTCACACAGCAATGAAGCAGGGATCTATTTGCTGATTTATTAAGCTCATACAATATGAATTGCATGCTACTGCATTACTCTTATACCATAAGAGTGCGTGTCAATTTCAAATTTTATTATTAACACCATACAAACTTGAGTCTAGATACTCCCACCATCTAAACCTAAATTCTTTATTCCAATCATCACATATGATGTCAATTTGTAAAGAATTTAATGTCTAGCCACAAGCATCATGAATTTGAGCATCCATGATTTGATCTACATTTATGTTCATTTATTGGATCTCATCTTGACTAGCTACACTTACACTTTAGTCAAGACGATTATAGTTTCTGTTTCTTTTCTATCCTATTAATGTAGCGACCGTTCTTTCAAAAACCTATTTAGATTATATCAAATAATTATTCGAAAGATTAACCATGATAGAAAAAAAAAAAGAAACCTTAACATTGTAAAATCACTATAATGGTTAAAAGGAATAAACTTATATCATGCAATACCAATCACTAACTTGGGCCTTGGACTTCCAAAGTCCAAAAACACCATTCAACTATTAACCCAAACAAAACTCATAATTTCAAACATATGAACTAATAAATCATTTTAAAATAAGTTATGGAGTCCATTAATCAAAATCAATGCTTTCAAAAGAATGTAACATGCAAAGTCTTAGAGGTCTCTAGCCTTTTAATGACCCTCCTCTCAAATAGCAGTAATCAAAATTATTAGTTTATAACATCAGAGTCGATGAGCCCTATGTGACAATATATAATAAGTCAGCACATAAAATAAAAGAAAAGAGGCTATACAAACTATAACAGCACACTATGCCTTTGAAGCCTTCCCTGATGGACTATCACTTGAACTATCATCTGAAGATAATAAAAACTACAGGGTAAGACAAAAGCCTCAATAACCAACTTTCCAACTCATCATATATACTAACAAGTACTCGTGAAGTGTCAAGTGAGATAGTTATTAATTCTCAAGAAATATAGATATATCAATAGAAATATAAAACACGTATATTAATATAATCTTAATCATCCAAGCCCTCACTATAGGGGCAATACACAAACCACATAAGTCAATCCCTCACTATAGGAGATTAATTAGACATATAGGCATATCCCTTACTTTGGAGGATGAATAAGAAGTCACAAAGGCATATCTCTTGTTATGGGAGGACGAAAGAAGCCAACCAATATGTACCAATGGCACCCTTACTACGTGACAAAACAGGACTCAACTCGAAATTCAAATATCAACTAATCATTCACGATATAATGAGAAATACCTCAATCTTTTTTCAGTATAATTCATAAGATATAAATAATATATTTTTCCAAACGACTTAGTCACAATTACAAAAGTCCCACAACATAATTTTCACAGCTTATAAAGTATAATATATCTACTCAAGTTCTAAATAGCGCATCATTATTTGAAAATAACAAAATATTCACAAATAACATATTAGCACATATAACAAGTGAAAAATGGTTACCTCTCGCCAAAGCAATAATAAGGATTGCCATAAGGCCAATCTCTTACTCAACCAATAATTAATTTACACAATTAATATGACCACATATTAATATAAGCTAATCAATTAATTAATTGAGCTTATATATTTTAGTTAAATTTCTAATTTAATTTAATTTCATTCCATTGTATAAAATTCTTAATTTATAAGTTAAGCTTCAACATCAAAAAATTGTCTAATAATATAAACTCAGCATTTTCAATATTTTAAACCAACTAAAATCTCAATAATATGTTAAACAACCCAAATAAATTATTTAACTTAATTTTAAGTGGTAAAAATATGATATATATCATATATAACAATTTTTTCAACTAGATAAATTAATTTAAATACTAAAACCAATAAATGGGCAAATCTAAACCAATTGAAATTAACTATTCATTTACCTCTAAATTCCTACAGTCATTTATTGTCAAAACTCAATACTTACTCTTTACCTAAATTTCAAATTTTCTCTAGTTACTATAGTAATACCATCATTAGAAAACTTAAAATATATAGAAAATATTTATAAAGAAAGTTTAATGAAAAAAAG